GCAATGGATAAACAACTCTGACCTTCATTCTCATTCCAGTTTATTGACCTCAGATAAAACACTGGCCCTTCTTAGAAGCAGAAGTGCACCAAGACCATTCATTTCAGGTAGACTCACATTCAGTGCCAAGTGCTCCCATGGGAATAATCAGACGCATATGTTGGGAAAGAGTGAAGGGACATGGACAAAGAGGGGTTTTCCTACAGATGGATGCTAAGTCTTCTACCAAAACATGTCTGGAGGCAGAGGTATGACCTCCCCCTTAAGTCCTAACAATGTATTTTGCGTGTACAAAACCTGGGATGCCCGTTCACGCTCTGACACAAAGACATGGCACTTCTAGTGAGTGATCAGGAAGATTCCACATGCATTTGGGAGCTTCAGGTGCTTGTTAGACACATTGAGCCATTCAAGGCAAGCACCACCTTTGCTTGTGAGGCCAAGAGGGCCTGTGACAATTTGTTCCAGAACCAGTCTGATACAAGTGCACCTCTAATATATGCCTTACAAACTCCAGAGGCCATATTCAAAACAGGGTCTTCTCAGTGTATGCAAGGGGCTGCAGCCCCTCTTCTCTTCCTCCCCAGGTTGAACAATACGGACAGTTTTCACACATATCTACCTGTATAACCCTCTGTACCTCTCATAACTGGTCAACGACTGTAACAGGTTACATCAGGTGTTTTTCTACATACTTTTTACACAGATTCTATGCGATTAATGTAACTTAATTCAATGCATCATTTTATTGTACTAGTTCTTAGGCCTGTCCTTATTTTTTTCTAAGTGATTGTGGTTTTTCTTGTGGTTTTGTAAAAATGAAAGGCTGTTGATGCTTATTCTCTGTAACTAAGAATTTTTACCTTTTGGGGAAAAAAAAAGCATTGCTATGAACTAATGAATTGAAACTTCATTTACTCATTGTAAATACACTATTGTGCAAAAAAAATTTTTTTCACTCAATTGAATTGCTAGTGTTAACTGAATTTTGTCTAGACACCATTTCTGTTGATGAAATAAAGACATATCATTATGCATTGTAAACTGATTTTCTCTGCCTCTGATCCCTGTGTTCCAAATTACGGAGTGAGAAACCTCAGGAAATCTTTTTTCCCAGAGGCCGTTTCTCTTCCTCTAGTTTGGACTCTTACTTGCTACCTGCTTAATCTGATTAGAAATCTTTAAAATTTGATAATACTAATGTGGTCCCTAAATTCTGAATTTAAAAAATTCCTAGTGCTTGTGAGAGTAGATAAAAGGCTTTAAACCCAATTTCTCGGTTTTTATATTGTGCTATCACTATGCAGAATGTTACCACAGGAAAAAACTGGGTGATGGGTATCATTTCTTGCAACTGCATGTGAATCTGCAATTATATCCAAAAAAGGTTTAATTTTTTTAAAAAACTAAATGAAAATAAATGAGGAAAAATAAACCAACACCAAGAGGCAATGAGTTGTGAGGAAAGATGTTTAGAATTGTGGCTGAGGAATCCATACAGTCACGCATTGGTGAGTGAGGGGGTACGTCCTGAGAAATGCATCCTTACACGATTTCATATTGTGAGAACATCAGGGTGTGCCACACCAACCTAGATGTGAAAGCCTATGACACCTAGACCATGCTTCTAGGTTGTAAACTTGTGCAGCGTGTAATTGTACTGGATATGGTAGGCAATTGTCACACCAGGGTGAGTATTTGTGTATGTTAATATAGAAAAGGCGCAGTAAAAATAGGGTGTTATAATCTTACAAAACCATTGTTGCGTTCCATCATTGACTGAAAACATGGTTATGCTATGCATGACTGTACAGTTTAAAAGGTGTATTCTAAAAGTGTATTTGATAGTTATGTCTTGGATTTTGATGTAAACAGAAAACAAGATATTGAATGGTGGGCAGGTTGAGTGACAGTGAGCAAACACTGGACTGGAGCTCGGAGGTGAGGGAAAGCCAGTAGGACAGAGCCGGGCGGCTGAGCTGTCAGCGAGGCTGTGAGTAACGAGTGCGTGCGCACAGCGTCAGGCAAGGCAGGGCAGGGCTGCCGAGATCCCTGTTTCGAGAAGTGCCTGCAACCGCCAGGTGGCAAAACCGAAAACCTGCCAAGTTCTGCTCCCTCGGGCGAGTCTTCATGGGCACTTAAGGAGTCAAGGAAGGCTTCCTGAGAGCAGGTGATGGGTTTTCCAAATGTGTGTTGCTCTGAAAACATCACAGTCATAACATTTTAGGTACAAGAGGTAGATTACCTATGCCTGAAGACATGAAGTTAATCCACTCTAAGAAAAACAGGTGAGTCATTGTCTCAAAATTATCTGTGGGAAAACATGGTAATTTAGAACTGATGGTCATTTGCACCTTTAACCCTGACATTTGCTCTTGCAATACAAATGACACTGATGCTTTGAAGCAAAGTAAACCTCATCAGCTGTTGTGTCCTGCAAAACAGGCATCCCCAACCTCTGGGCCGCAGACTAGTCCATGGCCTGTTAGGAACGGGCTGCCCAGCAGGAGGTGAGCAGCTGGGGAGTGAACATTACTGCCTGAGCTCCACCTCCTGCCCCATCAGCGGTGGCATTAGATTCTCGTAGCACAAACCCCACTGTGAACTGTTCATGTGAGGGATCTAGGTTGCAGCTCCTTATGAGACTCTAATGCCTGATGATCTGAGGCGGAATGGTTTCCTGAAAACATCCTCCTACCCCACTACCTCTGGTTCGTGGAAAAATTGTATTCCACGACACCAGACCCTGGTGCCAAAAAGGTTGGGGATTGCAGCTGCAAAAGAGCTTTTTTTTTTTTTTTTTTTGAGACAGTCTCACTCTTTCAGAGTGCAATGGCGTGATCTTGGCTCACTGCAACCTCCACCTCCCGGTTTCAAGCGATTCTCCTGCCTCAGCCTCCTTAGTAGCTGGGACTACAGGCCCATGCCACCAAGTCCAGCTAATGTTTTGTAGTTTTAGTAGAGATGGGGTTTCACCATGTTAGCCAGGATGGTCTTGATCTCCTGACCTCATGATTGGCCTGCCTCGGTCTCCCAAAGTGCTGGGATTACAGGTGTGAGCCACCGTGCCCGGCCTACAAAAGAGCTATTAAGCACTGTCCAGCCCCAGGTGGACAGCAGCCATTTTCTTTCCTACTTTACATGTGCTTCTTACAGGAAACTTGCATCTCCCTCTGGGGCACAGTGAGGACTGTTCCTTCTACACCAGGCCCTGCCTGCAGTTTTGTTGTATTTGGAAAGACCTGAGCTGTTCTTTAAAATTATTTTAGAATCTTTCACTCTTCTCCACCCCCCACCTCATCCCACTCTACCTCACCAGTTGGGATGCATTAGCAAGACTGTACTTAAAAGTTTAATACCAGTTGGTGAAGATGCCATGAGCAGAAGTGGGTTTCCAATTCTCCTTACTGAGCACCTATGTCTTCCTGGTACAGGCAAACACAGTACTTCCTGGTGTCAAAAAATCAAGGCCCAAAGAGATAGAGGTAGCCATACATCCCATTATGGAAGTGTCTTTCATTTCACTCAAGAGCATGGCACCCCCTGTCTCCACACCTGTCCCTGGTTCCTGCAGATCCTGACACATGCCTGCCACTGGCCCACTTAGCCACAAAGAGGCATTGCTGATTCTCCGTGGCTAGTTCTTACTCTTCCCTCTTGAAGATAAGTGCATACCTGAGACAGTGCCCTTCATCCCAAAGCAGTGAATGGAAACCTTCAGAGACACTGATGCTAGGAGTCACTGAAAACATTACATTTTACACTGGGCCCTCCAGCCTTTGTTTTTTCTTCTTTTTAGAGACAAGGCCTTGCTATCTTGCCCAGGCTGGAGTGCAGTGGTTATTCACTGGCATGATCAAAGTGCACCGCAGCTGTCAACTCTTGGCTGCAAGAATCCTCTCACCTCAGCCTCCCAAGTTGCTGGGGCTACAGGCAGGCCACCATGCCCAGCTCAAACTTGTTTTTTTAACCTCCATTTGTGCCATGTTGTTGACAACCCAGTGAAGACTTTTCAGAGTGAAAAAAAAGATTGAAATTACCAAAAACATTGCCATAGAGGCCTCTGAAACCTATTGACAAACATATGACAAAAGACGACAGAAAGTGAATAAGGACTAAAGATTGGAAAATTGGAAGCAATGGGTAAAGTATTGCCTTTGGCGTTTATACATAAATATTCATTCAAGCAATACTGTATTACATACTGAGCATCCAAGATGTCAAATACCTTATCCTTATAGCTTTCACAGGCTAGTCAGGCAGGGACATGTACAAATAAACCATTGCCCAGGGGCTGCTGACTTTTACAGACAGGAGAACAAGGCTTTCTGGAAGGACTGTGGGCCTCAGAGCAGCTGGATATGGATTTGAATTCCAGCAGGCTGTGTGATCTTTAACTGTGGAGAAAGTTAATCTCTTTGAGCCTTGTCTGAACTATAAAATGAGAACGAACAATAATAATTTGACACCCTTGTATAAGGTATAAATAATGTGAGCACATGGAATATAGCATACCCCTTTAAGGCACTTTTTGGGACGGGCACAGTGGCTCACACCTGTAATCTATGTAAGTGCTATGGGGAGCTGAGGCAGGAGGATCACTTGAGGCCAGGAGTTCCAAACTAGCCTGGGAAACATAGCAAGACCTCATTTCTAAAAAAAAAAAAAAAAAAATTTAATTAGCTGGGAGTGGTGGTGCACCTCTATAGTGCCAGCTAGTGGGAAGGCTGAGGTGGGAGACTTGCTTGAACCTGTGAGGCGGAGGTTGCAGTGAGCTCAGATCAGCCAAGTAGCAACCAGCTGAGCAGCTTCATGGGTTGGCTAGTCAGTGCACATCACAAGGCACTCTCCTGGATGGCTCAGGACCACTGGGAGGGTGAGCGGGGTGAGGAAGACATGCTGGCTTCTACTGATCCCAGGAAGCTCCTGGTGGGGCACAATCATGGCATCACCACTACCCATGAACAATCCCAGCAGGATACAAAAAGAGCATGCGAGTGTTTGCCAGTGTTTTAATCAATATTTTATTTCCGTGGCATTGATGAATTAAAAATCCAACTGGTTCATCCCCGAGAAATGAACTGATGAGAGGAAAAGCATGGAAAGTTTCTTGCCAACCTCTCCTTTATAGACAGGAAGCACATCTGACCTGACGCTGAGCGCAAAGCTCCAGGCCTGCTGTGGACCCATGTTTAAGGGGCCATCGGCTACTTTTGCTGCTACTGCAGAGCTGAGGTACTCTCTTGCAAAATATCCCACCAGGTTGTGCTGGGACTGGGGAAGAGGTGACATATCCCAATCCTCCTACTCGAGACAGAGCCGCTCTTGCCCCTAGATCTCCTCTGACAGTGTACAGCTCCTCACTGCCCGAGCATCAGACCTGCCTCAAGCAGTGTGGCCCAGCAAGGAAGTGAGAATCTGTCCCCAGCCCTCATAAGGGAAGGGTCTCCTGTGGATGTGACATGGCCCTTCACCTGGTGGGTGTCTGCGGAGGATGTGGGTCCCAAAGCGCTTCCTGTAGTTTGAGCTGACAAAGGCACGACTCTCCTCCTGCAGATAACAGCTGCTCCTGATGCATTATTTTTTCATAATAGACGAAAGTTCTAGAATCATGTTCTGAAAGAGATAGGAAATCAAAAAACAAACAAAACAGACTCAAAGGACTTGTAAGAGTCAGCCCTACCCACCCACCTGGGATTCTATATATGTCACAAATGCTGGGGATCAGAGAGCTGCTGCAGACAGCAGCTGTCCCTGTGTTTCCCCGCAGGTGAACGTCCGTCCATGTAAGAGGTGGTGCCCGATAGCATTACAGTGAAAATTCCGGTTCCTTCCTGCTGCCTCCTCTTCCTCCTCCTCCCTACTGTTGTGCTTTTTGTTGTTTTGTGCAAAAATTCAGGCCTAAAACAAAAAAGTCAATTTGTTCCTAAGCTCCATCTTAGTCCCTTTACAATTAGCCAGATTTTTTGACTTTGGATAATGTGGAAAGTGAACTCATTCAAATACAGAATTGTCCATTTTGTAACAGTCTATCTCTGATGCTAAAAATATGCTAAACTCAGGAGGCCATGTGCCGGAAGAGCGAGGGGCAGCCATGGATGAGGAAGCAGGAGCTTGAGCTGAGTCAGACAGGCTAAGGATCAAATTTGAGCTTACTTGCTCATCCAATAAATATTAATGTATCCCCCGCTACATGCCAAGGACTGTGTTTCACACAACCTAATTGTGTGATTTAGGACAACACCTATTTCCTTATCTGTAAACTAGAAATTAGCACATGGGTACAGAGAGGAAGTCCACATCGGTGTCCAGACCATGATCCAGCCCTCAATAAAGCGGTGTCCTTCCTCATCTTCTTCACATTCTTTGGTAATTGATAAATTGTGTAAAACTTCTCAGCCAAAGGTTCAACAAATTATAACAATCCACCCTCCAAACAGCCACCTCATAATCCTTGTTAATAATGAGTTGGGTTGGGCGCAGTGGCTCATGCCTGTAATCCTGGCACTTGAGAAGGCTGAGGCAGGAGGATTGTTTGAGCCCTGGAGTTCAAGGTTGCAGTGAGCCATGATGGAGCCACTGCACTCCAGCCTGGGTGACAGAGTGAGACCTTGTCTCTAAAAAATTGAAGTAAAATAAATGATAATGTTAAGTTAAAAATTACCTTCCCAAATGAGACAAAGAACCTAGAAGGCAAAGAGATTGTTCATAATATAAAATTAAAAGTTTAAAGATGTCATAAATGTGGAAAAGGGACAAGCACAGGGGGAAAAAATATTTCCATGTCAGTATAGACAATAGGTTAATATGATACCAGATAAGAGCTCCTAGAGGCTGGACGTGGTGGCTCACACCTGTAATCCCAGCACTTTGGGAGGCCAAGGCGGGCGGATCACCTGAGGTTGGGAGGTTGAGACCAGCCTGACCAACATGGAGAAACCCTCCATGTTGTACTTTTAGAAATTTTGTACTAAAAATACAAAATTAGCCAGGCATGGTGGCATGTGCCTGTTCAGGAGGCTGAGGTAGGAGAATCACGTGAACCCGGGAGGCAGAGGTTGCAATGAGCTTAGATTGTACCACTGCACTCTGGCCTGGGGGGCAGAGCAACACCCGGTCTCAAGAAAAAAAAAAATGACAATTCATGGTAGAAATACAGATAGCCAATAAACATATGTACAATCTTAGTAGTAATCACAGAAATGTAAATTAAAGACAGGGATGGGGAAGGGAGTAAGATAATGTCTGCTGTTGGCAAGAGTATGAGGAAATGGGTGCTATGCTGGTGAGAGGGTAAGTTGGAATAGTCCTCCCTGAGAAAAAATCGGCAGCATTTATCAAAACAAAATGTAGCCAGGTCTGGTGGCTCATGCCTGTATTCCCAGTGCTTTGGGAGGTCAAGGTGGGAGGATCGCTTGAGCCCAGGAAGTCGAGACTACAGTGAGCTACGATTGTACCTCTATACTCCAGCTTGGGCAATGGAACAACACCAGGCCTCTTAAAAAAAAAAAAAAAAAAAAAAGCAAGCTGGGTATAGTGTCTCATGCCTGTAATCCCAGCACTTTGGGAGGCCAAGGTGGGTGGATTACGAGGTCAGGAGATCAAGACCATCTGGCCAACATAGTGAAACTCCATCTCTACTAAAAAATACAAAAAAATTAGCTGGGCGTGGTGGCACACGCCTGTAGTCCCAGCTACTCAGGAGGCAAAGGCAGGAGAATTGCTTGAACCCAGGAGGCAGAGATTGCAGTGAGCCAAGAAAGCACCACTGCACTGTAGCCTGGGTGACACTGTGAGAGTCCATCTCAAAAAAATAAATAAATAAAAACAAAAACCCATCACTAATCATCCATGAAATGCAAATCAAAACCACAATGAGCTATTATCTTACCCCAATTAGAATGGCTACTATTGAAAAGACAGAAAACACAAATAGATGCCAGTGAGGATGTGGAAAAAGGGAACTCTTATACACGATTGGCAGGATTGTAAATTAGCATGGCCTCTATGGAAAACAGTATGGAGATTTATCAAAAACCTTAAAGCAGAACTACCATATGATCGAGCAGTCCCACTACTGGATAAAGGAAATCAGTATAGCAAAGGGATATCCGCACTCCCATGTTTATCACAGCACTATTCACAATATGAAATCAACCCAAGTGTCCATCAACAGACAAATGTATAAAGAAAAGGTGGTATATTACACAATGAAATACTATTTCGCCATATAAAAGAATAAAATCATGTCATCTGCAGAAACATGGGTGGAACTGGAGGTCATTATGTTAAGCAAAATAAGGCAGGCACAGAAAGGCAAAACTCACGTGTTGTCACTCATGTGAACACTAAAAACGTTGATGTCATTGAGGTAGTGAGTGGAATGATAGATACTAGAGGCTGGAAAGGGCATGTGGGTGGGAGGGGGGTGAAGACAGGTTGGTCAAATATACACACATACAGTTAGATAGAAAGTTCTAATGTCTGCTGGGCATGGTGGCTCAACCCTGTAATCCCAGTACTTTGGGAGGCTGAGATGGATGGATCATGAGGTCAGGAGTTCAAACCAGCCTGGCCAAGATGCTGAAACCCCATCTCTACCAAAAATACAAAAATTAGCCAGGAGCGGTGGCACATGCCTGTAATCCCAGCTACTCGGGAGGCTGAGGCAGGAGAATTGCTTGAACCTGGGTTGCAGAGGTTGCAGTGAGCCGAGATCTCACCATTGCACTCTGTCTCAAAAAAAGAAGAAAGAAAGTTCTAATGTCTGAAAGCAGAGCAGGGCGACTCTAGTACAACAATGTATTATATAATTCCAAGTAGCTAAAAGAATTTGAAATGTTCCCAACACATAAGAATGATAAATATTCAAATTGATGAATATCCCAATACCATGACATGATCATTATACATTCTATGATGCAACAAAATATCACATGTACCTCATGAATGTAAAATATCACATATCAATTAAACATATGTTTTAATAAAAATAAAAAACAGGCCGGGCATGGTGGCTCACTCCCATAATCCCAGCACTTTAGGAGGCTGAATCACTTGAGGTTGCTTTGAATATCTGTTTACTTTTCTGTACTGTGAGAAAAGGGACTGTGTTGTTCTGTCAGCTGTTTTATCCCAGCACCCAGCATACAGTGCCTGGTATCCAGTAAGCATTCAAAAAACACATCATGGGCCAGGCGTGATGGCTCACACCTGTAATCCCAGCACTTTGGGAGGCCGAGGTGGGTAGATTACTTGAGCCCAGGAGTTCAAAGCTACGGGGAGCCATGATCATGCCACTGCCTTGGAGCTTGGGTAACAGAGCAAGATACTGTTTCAAAAAACAAAAACAAAAAATTAATTAATTAATTAAGAAATAACAGATTTGGGGATGGTAAAAAGACAAAAATAAGACAGGAAATTTCTCTTTTTGGCCTATATATTTGTGTTGCCTGAATTTTTACAATTTAAACACTTATTTGTTCAAAACAAATATTAAGGAAACAAGTTTCTTATTTAAAACTGTGGTCTAGGTACTACAGATTATATGGTATTAGGAAAGGGAAAATGTTTCTCTGTTTTTCTAGGAGCAAATCTCAGTGCATTCTTCATCTCCCTAACATCCCAAAAGATTGGGAGAGTTCGCCGGGCAACTTTCTTCCTAATGTCAAAATCTCCTTCCTCTACGGCCATAATTCTGAACGCTGGCTGCAAATTAGAATCACCTGGGAGATTTACAAAGGAAGGAAGGAAGGAAGGAAGGCAGGGACGGAGGGAGGGAGGGAGGGAGGGAGGGAGAAGAAAGGAGAGAAAGAGAAAGAAAAAAAGAAAGAAAAGAAAGGAAGGAAGGAAGGAGGGAGGGAGGGAAGGAAGGAAGGGATGCAGGGAGGAAAGAGAAAAAGAAGGAAAGAGAGAAAGAGGAAGGAAGAAAGAGGGAGGGAGAAAGGGAGGGAGGGAGGGAGGAGGAAAGGGAGGGAGAGAAGAAAAGGAAAGAAAATCATGGCTCTAGCAGATAGCTTTCTGAACTTCTAAAACACAATAGATTCCCATCACAGGACAATTCTCTGTAAGGAACAGCCTAAGTGGCCAAACAACTATGGTTCTATCAGGAGTCATTTCACTCTGAAATGTCAACTACTGTAATCAGTATATATCTGACTGAGTCATAGAAATTCTGCCATCTTGAACCTAATACAACAAAATAGGCAGTTTACAGTCCATTTATTGAAAGTAGAGGATTATTTGTTTGCTAAACTAATTTCTTTTTTTCTCTCTCTCTCTCTTTTTTTTTTTTAAGAGATAGGATCTCACTGTGTTGCCCAGGTTGGGCTTGAATTCCTGACCTCAAACCATCCTCCCAGCTTGGCCTCCCAAAGTGCTGGGATTACAGGCATGAGCCACCACACTCAACCCCTTACACTAATTTCTAATGAAAGATCCCTCTGTTTACAAGAAGCACCATGTGTCAGCCACTGGTCTGTGGAGATGAGAGCTGTGGCCTCAATTCCCAAGTGTTTCCATCATTTGGGGGGTGAAGTAGACTGTCAACTCTATAATAAGCTTGGGAAAAGGTGACTATTATTAGGAAAGCTCTGTGGCCAAAGGCATTTTTTTTATAATTCCTAGAAACATAAAGAACAAAGAAGGAAGAAAAAAATGAAATAAGAAAGAAGGTTCCAGTCTGGCATGTAAGGCCCTTGGAAGTAACCACTCTGCCCCAGCAACAAATAGAAATCTGAACAAACTAAAAAGTCAGCAATTCTTCTTAGCTCTGTTGGAGAAGAGGGGTTACTGCACAAACTGCTGCCTTCAAAATTAGAAAGTCTAGGGCATAAAAGATTGAGACCCAGTCATTGGACTATAGAATGTTTCCCCTCCCCACATTCCTTACCACCACACCACTAAAGGCCTATTTACCAGAGTCTTTCTCTTTCCTTTTTCTTGAGACAGGGTCTCACTCTGACTCCCAGGCTGAAGTGCAGTGGCACAGTCCTGGCCACTTGGGAGGCTGAGGTAGGAGAATTGCGTGAGCCTGGGAGGTTGAGGTGGCAGTAAGCCATATCCATGTCACTGCACTCCAGCTTGGGGAACAGAGTGAGACCCTGTCGCAAGAAAAAAGAGAGAGAGATAGTTTTGCCATGTTGCCCAGGCTGGTCTCGAGCTCCTGAGCTCAAGGGATCAACCTGCCTTGGCCTCCTAAAGTGCTGGCATCCCAGGTGTAAGCCACTTAAGATTTTTTTCGTCTCTACAAAATATTGAGATTTCAACCAAAAAAGCACAAAGCATACTAAAGGGAAAAAAAAAAAACAGTTTGAAGAGACTGAATGAGCATGAGAATCAGAGTCAGATAGGGCACAAATGTTGGAATTATCACACCAGGAATTTAAAACTATGATTAATATGCTAAGGCCGCTAATGGAAAAAGTAGACAATATATAAAAACAGGTAGATAATGTAAGTTAGGAGATGAAAAGTCTAAGAAAGAATCACAAAAAAGTGCTAGAGATCAAAAACACTGTAAAAAAAATAAAGAATGCCCTTGATGGGCTCGTTAGTAGACTGGACACAGCTAAGGAATGAATCTCTGAGCTTGAGGATATAAAAATAAAAAACTTCCAGGACTGAAAAACAAAGATAGAAAACACTAAAGCAAACAAACGAAAACAAAATAGAACAGAATACCCAAGAATTGTGGGACAATTACAGCAGGTATAACACACATATAAGCCAGAAGAAGAAACAGAGAAAGGAAGAGAAGCAATATTTGAAGCTAAAGTACTAATATGCTCCTAAATCTGATGTCAGACACCAACCCACACATCCAGGAAGTCCAGAGAACACCAAATGGGATAAACACACCAAAACACACACACACACACACACACACACACAAACTACATTTAGGCTTATCATATTCAAATGTCAGAAAATCAAACAGAAAAAAGTATATATTGAAAGAAGACAGGGGCCAGGCACAGTGGCTCACGCCTGTAACCTCAGGCTTTGGGAGTCCAAAGCAGGCAGATGATCACAAGGTCAGGAGATCGAGACCATCCTGGTTAACATGATGAAACCTCATCTCTACTAAAAATACAAAAAATTAGCCAGGTGTGGTGGCTCGCACCTGTAGTCCCAGCAAGATTTCAGGATATAAGGTTAATGTGCAAAAGTCTATGACTTTCCTACATACCAGCAATGAACAAGTAAAATGTGAAATTAAAAGCATATGACCAGGCACGATGACTCACGTCTGTAATCCTAGCACTTTGGGAGGCTGAGGCAGGTGGATCACAAGGTCAGGAGATCGAGACCGTCCTGGCTAACACAGTGAAACCCTGTCTTTACTCTGTTTCTTCTTCTGGTTTATATGTGTGTTATACCTGTTGTGATTGTCCCACAGTTCTTGGGAATTCTGTTCTATTTTGTTTTTGTTTGTTTGTTTTAGTCTTTTTTATCTTTGTTTTTCAGTCCTGGAGGTTTTTTATTTTTATATCCTCAAAAATCCAAAAAAATTAGCTGGGCGTGGTGCCGTGTGCCTGTGGGTCCCAGCTATTCAGGAGGCTGAGGCAGGAGAATTGCTTGAACCCAGGAGGCAGAGGTTGAAGTGAGCCGAGATAGCACCTCAAGACTACACTCCAGCCTGGGTGACAGAGTAAGACTCCATCTAAAAAAAAAAAAAAGTTACATTTCCTCAGTGTAAATTATCTTTTACTCCTACTTATATTTATAAATACAATAAAGTCCATACAGAAAAGAAAAGAGAGAGCTCATCCACTTCAGCTTCATCACCTTCTCTCCAGGATTCTGAGCTTGGCTGGCCTCTCCCAAAAAAATAAACTGAAGAATTAAGAAAATCCATCTCACCTAAAAACTGCTGTATCTCCCTCAACAATACAAAGGCTTCTCTTGCATGGAAGGTACAGAAAAAAGAAAATGGTGAAAATTGTATTTCTGACTTTGCAAATGCAAATAAGAAGCAGTGGATGGTCTGAAGGTAATGAGTTATCCCAATGGATTGTTCACAGTCAGTTACAGATTGAACTTGTTCTACTCTTTTCCCCCTTCTCACTATTGCACTTAACAGGAAAGAGGGAAGGGAAGGGAGGTGGAGGGGAAGGGGAAGGGGAAGGGGAAAGGGAAGGGAAGGGAAAAAGGAAGGAAGAGAGGGAGGAGAAAGAAAGAAAGAAGAAAAAGAAAAGAAAGAAAGAAAGAAGAAAGAAAGAAAGAAAATTTTTAAAAAAGATGTAGCTGCCATTGGCCAAATAATTCTATTTTTTTTTATTTTTAGAGACAGAGTCTCACTCTGTTGCCCAAGCTGGAGTGCAGTGGCATGATCTTGGCTCACTGCAGCCTCAACCTTCCAGTCAAGTGATCCTCCCAAGTAGTTGGGACCACAGGCATCCCCCACCACACCTGGCTAATTTTTTTTTTTTTTTTTTTGAGAAACAGGGTTTCATCATGTTCCCCAGGCTGGTCTTGAACTCTTGAGCTTAAGTGATTCCCTACCTTGGCCTCCCAAATTGCTGGGATTATAAGCATGAGCCACCATGCCTGGCCCCAAATTATTCTAAAATAGTGGTTCTTAACCCTGGCTGCACATTGCACTCACCAAGGGAGTTTTAAAAATATTGATTCCTGAATCCTACCCACAGAGATTCTGGTTTTATTATAATTGGAGGGTCCTGGACACGATGGTTTTTAAGCCTCTCAGATGGCTTTAATGTGTAGCACGGGTTAAGAACCCTGCTCTAGTTTGGCATAGAGTTCTAAGCACCCATACATTGATCCTAAGCATAGTCTTCTGAATAAATGGCTGATCACTGACAAGAAAAAGATATCAGCTTGAAAGAAGCATTTAGTAAAAATCCAAGTAGGTTGATTTGCTCTCATGGTATGGCTGTAGTACAGTAACATCAGTATCTAAACCCACAGGAGATGTAAAACTGGGGCAGAGGGATTCAGTCATTATTAACACAAAGAATGGAACAAAGGAAGAAACAAGCATGTGAGCTCAACTCAGACGCTCTCCCACAAACCTTGGGGGAATTTTCTCTGTAATGGAAACAGTTGACTATTGGGAGCAGTGAGTAAGCAAGTGTCATCCTTTGTTCCAGAACTGAGAAAAATCCACAGTAAATATCCATTTCATGTTTACAGCGTCTGGGAAATGTTGATCCCACAGTGGTTTTTCATAGAACAAAATTAAAATCAATACAATATTGATTTTTGTCTTTGTAAAATATATCACCAAATATTTGTATACGACTTTGAAATGTCAAAGGTATTAAAACAATGAAGTACACCCTCCTTTTTTGGTAAGATGGGGGCAACTCAAGGTTACAAATGATTCCTCCTCTGGACCGTTTTCCACACTGTGACAGAAGGGCTTTCTAAACTGCAGTTCTGATTCAGTCCCTTCTCTGCTCCACATCCTCTGTCAGTTCCCTATGGCTTCCTTACAGAGCCTCCATGCCCACTCCTCAGCCTTCCCTCCCTCTGCCCCCTCCTACCACCCTGTGCTCTAGCCGCATGCAGCTCCTCAGACAGCACTGCTGTGTCTTGCCTCTTAGCTTTTGTCTGCGCTTCTCCCTCTACCAGGATGGCTTCTTTCATGTGCCCCAGTCCTCCCGGTTTTGGAAACACTTGTCACATTTTTCAAGATTTAGTTCAAAGTAACTTCAACTATGAACTTTTCTCTGACCTATCCATATGACCACTCCCTCCTTTCTCACTCATTCCCACTAACATGACATCGTACACTTGATATATTTACATGTTTACCTGTCAAATTTTCCTTCTACACTCTAAGCCCTTTGATGTCAGAGACTGTATTTTATCCATTTATATGCCCAGTACTTATAAAGGTGTTTGGTATAAAGTAAGTATTCTCTAAGTTTATTTTATGAATCGAATTTAACTGAAAGTATTGAATGAATATTTTATCTCTCCATAAATAATCTGCCTCTCTGTCAACACAAACATACATAAACACCCCAGGAGTGATGAAAGAAAAAAGCATCCAGATTGGAACAGCTCTTGTGATAGTTCCATGATCAGTAGGGCTGTCTGTCTTACCATTGATGTTCTGTGCCCAGTGACTGAAGGCAGAGGTGAGGAGCTGTTTTCCTGGTGAGGAAAATCCAAGCAGGAGCTATTCTGAGAACTAGCGCTCTCTGAGTCACTGTGCAGATGTCGCTTTTCAGACAGCAATCTGGACAGAAAGCTGCCCTTGCGACTGCCTGGGTGAGATCTGTCTATCCAGAGCCCACTCTCTCTCATGCTGCCTTCACTGTCTCTGCAGTGACTATGAAGATCTGTGAGAGGCTCACCTGAGGGCTCCAGGTCCTGGGACTGCTCCCAGGTTCCTATTGCATGGGATGGACAGTTTCTAGGGGCCATAGTTGTACCTAGCCAGGACTGGGATATTGTATTCTGTAAGCCAAATGAGGAATAGTCTGATTGCTGTCCCAGGTGCTGATTTCCACCACTGCCAGCCCAGGGACAAGGGCTGTGAACATGGAGCTGTCCGCTGAGCTGATCCTTCTCAGACCAGTCTTTTTTCCCATTGGAAGGGTCTACTTCAAGTTGCCTGGGCTGTGGGATTTGCCACGTGGTTTTAGACTTTGGAACATTAACTCGAATGACTTGCTGTTGATTGTTAGCTTGAAGTGGAGAGATTCTTTCAGGCAAGGAAGAACAAATCATACACTGCTGGGCCACTGAATATTTCTTCAAATGGAATGGAGGAGGGCCTGTTTCATCCTCAATGCCCTCACTGCTGGATTTCTTATAAAGTGTTCTCATAATTTTTCTAATGCCCAGATGAAATATTTCCAGTATGTTGAGTAACAAGGAAATGGCTGCAATGCTGTGCATAAAAAGCATGAAAATTGTCTTCTCAGTGGGCCTGGATACAAAGCAATCCACTGCATTGGGGCAAGGAGGTTGAGTGCATTTGTAAAGGGGGTGCATTTGAAACCCATAAAGGATATATTGGCCTATCATGAATCCTACTTCCAGTACAGATCTGGTCAAGATGTGTAAGACATAAGTACGCAGCAGACATCCTTTCAGAGGGACTTTATGGATCCTCTTCTGCTCCTCTAGCCTCCTCAGTTCCCTATCTATCCTTTGCTGCTCCTCCAGGTCAAGCTCTGGATTCTCCATCTGGGCTCTAAGGTGTGACTTTTTCCTCTGCCTCTCTTTCTCAAAGGCCCTGAGCCTATAAAGTGCATGGCCCATATAGACCAAAGAAGGAGAAGACACGAAGATGATCTGTAAAACCCAGAACCGGATCAAAGAGATAGGGAAGGCATCATCATAACAGATATTGTTGCAACCTGGCTGCCGGGTGTTGCAGGCAAATGCTGACTGTTCGTCATCCCAGACATCCTCGGCAGCCACACGAAGTACCAGCATTCGGAAGATGAAAAGGATGGTCAGCCAGATTTTCCCCACTATGGTTGAGTGGGAGTGAACTTCCTCTAGGATGCCACCCAATAAGTTCCAATCCCCCATGGTTAAAGACTAATGTCTGAAATATACAGAAAACAGAGATTAATAGTACCCATGGTTGTAATATATAGACACAGACTCAAAAATATAGCAGGTTCTTTTGTATGTCTGCAAAACTATGAAGGATCTTCCAGCCCTAATATTTACAGCCCATGCTTAAAATAAGATATTTCTTAAGATATTAATTTTTGAAAAAACACTAAAGACCCCACCATTTCACCAAGTTTCCATCCTATCCTCTTTTACTCCCCCCACACAGATGCCTGCTATTCTAGTATACTAATAGGCCTCCGTATTTGCACAATTGATTCTAATTGCACCATTGTATTCATTTTTCTATCCATACGAGATGCTCTATTTACCATACATCTGACATGATCTTAAAGGAGTCTCAGTTCCTCAGGAAGTATTCCCTAACCATCCCAAGTTGTAAGTTTCCCATTCCAGAATTCTCACAACATTATTGTTAATACTATTCATCTGGGACTGTGCCTAAATGAGTTTTGTGATGGTTGTGGCTTATGTTCCCCTTCCTGGAAGTACCCTTGCAGATAGAGACTCTAAAGCATGTTGCTCATTGCACACAGAAGCCTTCAACATATAATAGTGAACAGAATTGTCTTTTCACTTTAAAATTCTGTTCCTTTACCCTATCACCAAAATAACCATCAACAGGCAAAATAAAGTAAATCCTCATGATATGTTATACAGGGCTTTCACTGCAAGACAAAATATAGGTAAAGAAAATATAAATCCATCAAGTAAACCCTCAGGAACTGGCTCATATCAGGGTAGCAGCAAAGATTAGGCAGACACAGACACAATAACACATAATTACATCCATTAAGCCACATCTGGAACATCATGTTTTCCTGGAATTTTTGCTAACTTAGAAGAAAAGTGAATATAAACTGCTTCTCTAGCAAGCTTAGGATCTGGGAAACAATCCAGGTGTAGCTGACATGAACAGTTACTTCGTTTATCCCAAAAAGCTGGTGCTTTTCAAGGTTCAGTGAAAAAACTTAGTAGGTTAAAGCTTTCCAAGATGTGGAAGGCTTCTAGATAAAAAAGATATAGAGGAAAAATAGGAAAGCATTATTAAGTTAAAATAGATAATGAGGCCGGGCACGGTGACTTACACTTGTAATCCTAGCACTTTGGGAGGCCAAGGCGGGCAGATCACTTGAGGTCAGGAATTTGAGATTAGCCTGGCCAACATGGCAAAACCCTGTCTCTACTAACAATACAAAAATTAGCCCAGGTGTGGTGGTGCACATCTGTAATCCCAGCTACTCAGGAGGTGAAGGCAGGAGAATTGCTTGAACCCAGGGTAGGGCAGAGATTGCAGTGAGCTGAGATCATGCCACTTCACTCCAGTCTGGGTGAAATAGCAAAACTCTGTCTCAGAAAACAAAAAAAAGACAATGAAACAATTATCCCCTTCCATAATTCATTCATTCAGTAATATTTGCTAACATCTTTCTATTGGCCAGGTGGAGTGGCTCATACCTGTAATCCCAACACTTTGGGAGACTGAGGTGGGTGGATCACTTGAGGTCAGGGGTTCAAGACCAACGTGGCCAACATGGTGAAACTCCGTCTCTACTAAAAATACAAAACTTAGCTGAGCATGGTGGTGCATGCCTAAAATCCTAGCCACTCAGGAGTATGAGGCAGGAGAATTGCTTGAACCCAGGAGGCAGAGGTTGCAGTGAGCCAAGGCCTGGGAGACAAAGCAAGACTCTGTCTCAAAAAACAAAATAAAGAAACTCAAACGGCTATCGCCTAGGCATTGTTCTAGATGCCAGGAATTCAAATAACAGGATATATTTGGTCCCCAATCTCACAGTACTTGATCACTAAGGACTCCCACTTAATCTATAAAATGAACCAAGGCTGATAATACAAAAATGAATGTCAACCCCAAAAAAAATAAGAGAAAAAACTTGGAATCCTCAGATTTTTTTTCCTATTCCTCCCCCCCACCAAAAAAAATTGATTCCAGATAGAACAAAATATTAATTGTAAAAAAGTAAGCCATAAAAGTATTAAAATAAATTATAAAATAATATGTTTTGTGACCTTGAAGTAGAAGGCTTTTTAAGCACATCAGTGCCAGAAATTATAATTAGAAAAAATATAGATTCTAGCTGGCATGGTGACTCATTCCTGTATTCCCAGAACTTTAGGAGGTGGAGGTGGGAGGACTGTTTGAACCCAGGAGTTACAGACCAAGCTGAGCAATATAGCGAGGCCCTTGTCCCTACAAAAAATAAATGTAAAAAGTTGGCCAGGCACAATGGTGAGTGCCTATAGACCTAGCTACTTGGGAGGCTGACATGGGAGGATCACTTGAGCCCAGGAGTTTGAAGCTACAATGAGTCGTGATTGCACTACTGCAGTTCAGCCTGGGTGACAGAGTGAGACTCTTCCTCAAAAAAAAAAAAAACAAAAAAACAAAAAAAAAACAGATTCTATCAGCAAAACTGAATGGTAAAGGTGGAGAGATCCAAAGGCATCTGGGTCTAGAGAATAACAACAACAAAAATGGTACAAAAAGGAGATACACTAAATAGGTAGAAAGGATCACTCAAAGACAAAAAGAAAAAGTAAGACAATGACAGAAGGGAATAACACAGGGGAAAAAAGAGTCTACAGATAAATATGAGAAATGGCCAAGGAGAGAGAGGAGGAAAACCATGAGGATGGTGTCTCTGAAACCAAAGCAGAGTTTCAAGAAGGGGAATAGTTGACAAAGCCAAATACACACACACACACATACACACACACCACTATTTAAATAAATTTAATTTAATGGTGATATACCATGCTCAAGGATTGAAAATTGCAATATAGGTAAAGATGTCAATTCTCCCCCAAATTAACTAATCCAAAGGTTCAGTGTGAAATTGTAAATCACTAAGTAAAATAAAACTATAAATGTACATGTATATGTATGCACATATCCATGAGACGTATATGATTTTATTGAGGATGAAGAAAAAAATGCAGAAGGATACACACCAGGAATTCGTATAGGTTACCTGAGGTCTACTGAATGTGATGAGAGTGGAGGGAAAGTTAAGGTGGATAAAAGAGAGGCAAAAAAGAGAAAGAAAAGGAAAAAAGAGTTCTAAGAAAGCATGACTGATTTTTTATCAAAAGTGTACATTATGTAAATTTTTACCTGTATGTACATATATAAATATAAATAAATTTTTAATAAAATTGAAGAAGTGGTAGATAATCTCAGAATTTGGAAGAGTTATTAAGACTTTTATAATTTACTCAATGTACTTGTGAATTGTTTGAAATTCAAAAATTAAGAATGCAGCCATTTATATTACTTGCAAATAAAAATCAGATATTAAAATTCAGGACTCATATCTCATTAACCAAAAGCAATAATTTACTAAATTCTATCCTGTCTTAAAGAGTTTTGGTATTTTTCCATAATTATTTTCTTTAAAAATTCTAGTTATTATTCTTTATTTTACAAATGGATTTCCTCTGCAGGTAGATAACTGGAAAAATAAATAAATAAAGGATTTCTTTAGCACTTTAAAAAAAACCTATAGCTTCTATTTTCTATAGAAACCCAGAGGTGGGAAAGCTAACTCATGTCAATTTTACTCCTGTTTGGCAGTGTTAAGCTATATAATACTTCTTTTTGCCACTGTGTCTTTAAAGTGTGGAAATTATTCTTTTTAAATAGCAAGTAAAGGAAAACTGAGCTTAACCTATATGAAAAACAGAAATACAATCTTACATATTAAAATACAAGACATTTTGTCCTTTAGACAACCAGTCCATTTTCTAAAAATAACTATTTCTTACCACTAAATTAGTGTGGGTCTTAGAAATATTCTTGAATTTTCTTTTATTTATCAAATACAAATTTAGCACCTCCTATGTAAAAAGCTGATGGTCCTTTTCATCATATTATTTCAGATCTTGTCTTTCTACCCCCACAAGGAGTTTCTATATATTTCTCATAAACAAGAGAGTCCACATATTTACTACTTACCTTATGGGTGAACAAAAAAATCACGATTGGGTTCTCAGAACCTTAAAGTTGCACTGTGTGTGGCTCATTAGTGGAAAAATTGCTGCTGGTTGCAGATATAAAGGCTCTGATCAGGTGGCTGTGGGGCCCTAATCCAGAATGAGCACAGCTATTTTGATCAATGGAGTCTAACCTAGTCCTCCCCCAAGGTTCAAAATGTCCTCTGGTGCTTTGCAATTTTCTTACAGTATTTTTATTTAATTGATACCAAGCTGGGACCTCTCCTGGTGTAACATATTTGGAAATGGAAAGTGAAACAAATGAGAATTTTCATTTTGCATTGGTGAATGCATACAGTAATTTAAGTTCGGGCACATTTCTTTCAGTCTGTTGATTGTTCTAGGAATCGATGTTCACAGATCAATGAGTCATGTCCGATTTCATAAACAGCTGCCTGGGGTGAGTCTGGCCTCATAAATGTGAACAAATAATAATGGAGTGGAAATCAAACCTAAAGTGTTATTGCAAATCATGCTATGCTTGAAAGAAGTAACATCTCAAAAAGAGAATAAACATATGTAGAGTTGGATGTGATGGTTCATGCCTATAATACCAGCACTTTGGGAGGCCAAGGCGGGAGGATTGCTTGAGGCCAGCAGTTGGAGACCAGCCTGAGTAACATTATGAGACCCCCATCGTTACAAACAATAATAACAATTAACAGGGCATTGTGATGCATCCCTGTAGTCTTAGCTACTCAGGAGACTGAGGAGGAAAGATAACTTTAGCCCAGGAGTTCAAGGCTGCAGTGAGCTATGATTGCACCACCCGTTCCAGCCTAGGTGACAAAGCAAGACTCTCAAAAGAAAAGAAAAGAAGGCCAGCATGCAGTGGCTCATGCCTGTAATCCCAGCACTTTGGGAGGGTACAAGCAGATCGCTCGAGCCCAGGAGTTTGAGACTACCCCGAGCAACACTGCAAAACCCCGTCTCTACAAAACAATACAAAAATTATCTGGGCATGGCGGTGTGCACCTGTAGTTCCAGCTACTTGGGAGGCTGAGGTGAGAGGATCGCTTGAGCCCAGGAGGTGGAGGCTTCACTGAGCTAAGATCGCAATACTGCACTCCAACCTGGGCAACAGAGCAAGACTCCGTCTCAAAAAAAAAAAGAAAAGAAAAATAGGAAAGAAAAAATATAAACCTCCCCCTACCCCTCTCCTCCTCCTCCTACTTCCTCTTCTTTCCCCTCCCCTTCCTCCTCTTCCTCCTGCTTGGACCTGGAGGGTTCCGGAGGGTGGTGCCGCTGGGTACCGGTGCTGCACAGCCTGCTCCCTAGATGCAGACACCCACACAGTCAAACCCTACAGACTCCATCTTCCAGGAAGGTCCACAGCTAGCAGCCGCCTGCCTCCCAGGCCCCAGCACAGGACACGCGGGGTGCGAGGCCACACAGCGCCAGACCCTCCACCGGGCCGCGGATGGCACGGAGCTGCCTCGAGGTGAGCAGGGGCGTGGGGGCCGGAGGGTGTGCAGACGTCCTGGAGGCTGAGGGCTGTCGCTCAGAAGCTGGTGCTCATCGGAACTTGCTGCTGGCCCGAGTCGCTCCCCTGGCTCCCTTCTCTGGGTGGAACTTCACGTGGATCTGATTGCGCAGCACAGCTGCCCTCAGTATCCAGCCTTTGGCGCCGTGCTGAAACTCCCTGCCCATCCGCAGAGACTTCTAGAAGGTGGTGCTGCGCTAATCCACATCCTGGACATCCAGGATCTTGCTGTGCTAGTCCACTCAGGTGCTGATCAGCCCCTCCCGGATCCGCTGCGTCAGCCCACCTTCCCGGGCTGCCACCGTGGGGCTTAGGGCACTGCCACCCCTGTGCGTGTTGAGGGCGCGGCTGCGAATCTGGGCCTACAAGGTCCTGACGGTTCGGTGGGGGGAGGGCAGTGGGGGAGGCACACATGTCCCAGAGCAGATCGTCCTACATCTCCTTTTGTGTGTGTGTGTGTGTGTGTGTGTGTGTGTGACAGAGTCTCACTTTTTTTTTTTTAATCGTATTTAGGTTCTAGGGTACATGTGCAGATCATGCAGGATTGTTGCATAGGTACACACATGGCAATGTGGTTTGCTGCCTCCATCCCCCCCCCCCCCCCCGACATCTGGCATTTCTCCCCATGTTATCCCTCCCCTACCTCCCCAACCCTCCGCAGTCCCTCCCTTGGCCCCTCCAACAGACCCCAGTGTGTGATGTTCCCTTCCCTGTATCCATGTGTTCTCATTGTTCAACACCCGCCTATGAGTGAGAACATGCAGTGTTTGATTCTTGTGTCAGTTTGCTGAGAATGATGGTTTCCAGATTCATCCATGTCCCTACAAAGGACACGAACTCATTTTTTTATGGCTGCATAGTATTCCATGGTGTATATGTGCCACATTTTCCTTGTCCAGTCTGTCGTCGATGAGCATGTGGGTTGGTTCCAGGTCTTTGCTATTGTAAACAGTGCCGCAGTGAACATACGTGTGCATGTGTCTTTATGATAGAACGATTTATAATCCTTTGGGTATATACCCAGTAATGGCATGGCTGGGTCAAAAGGAATTTCTGTTTCTAGGTCCTTAAGGAATCGCCACACTGTCTTCCACAATGGTTGAAGTAGTTTACACTCCCACCAACAGTGTAAAAGCGTTCCTATTTCTCCACAACCTCCCCAGCATCTATTGTCTCCAGATTTTAATGATCACCGTTCTAACTGGTGTGAGGTAGTATCTCGATGTGGTTTTGATTTGCATTTCTCTAATAATCAGTGATGATGAGTGTTTTTTCATATGTTTGTTGGCCTCATGTATGTCTTCTTTTGAAAAGTGTTATATCCTTCTCCCACTTTTGGATGGGTTTGTTTGTTGTTTTCTTGTAAATCTGTTTAAGTTCTTTGTAGATTCTGGATATTAGTCCTTTGTCAGATGGGTAGATTGCAAAAATTTCTTCCCGTTCTGTTGGTTGCTGGTTCACTCTAATGTTGGTTTCTTTTGCTGTACAGAAGCTGTGGAGTTTTATTAGGTCGCATTTGTCTATTTTGGCTTTTGTTGGCAATGCTTTTGGTGTTTTAGTCATGAAGTCCTTGCCTATGCCCATGTCCTGAATGGTTTTGCCTAGGTTTTCTTCTAGGGTTTTTATGGTATTAGGTCTTTATTTTAAGTCTTTAATGCATCTGGAATTAATTTTAGTGTATTTGTATCCCAGGCTGGAGTGCCAGGCTGGAGTGCAGCGTTGCCATCTTGGCTCACTGCAACCTCTGCTGGGATTACAGGCGTGCACCACCACGCCCAGCTCATTTTTTGTTTTTAGTAGAGACAGGGTTTCACCATCTTGGTTGGTCATGCTGGTCTCGAACTCCTGACCTCAGGTGATCCACCCACCTTGGCCTCCCAAAGTGCTGGGATTACAAGCGTGAGCCACCTTATATGGTTGAGGTTGATTATTTGTAATTCAATTTTACCTCCCTTTATTGTTGTCTGAATTTACCTTAGAGATTACACATACATCCTTTACTTATCAATGTTTAATGTTCTGCCTCTGATGAAATGCATTCAAGGTATTACATTCATTACTTTTCAGGTGACTTTTAACCTAATGCTATACAAATATACTTATTAATACATCATATGTTTTTACCTCTAGTTAATTCTGACAGACAATTTGTACTCTGGGCTGATGTGCCAGGCTAGTGGGATTTTAATGTCACCTGTCTACCTTTCATTATCATCCTTTTTAAAAACTACATGACCGAAAATAGAATAGGCAGGTGATACTGATGAACTACCAGTAATTTTGTGCACTTCTACATTTTATATGGAAAAGAGCAGGCTTACAAATGTGCCTTAGAGCTGTGATCTGAAACCCTCATTAGGTTCTAGTGATGCCCTTGCAGTCAACACCTCTAAGATGGCACTCAGATTACGTGCCTGAGAGGTGACTAGTGGAAGATGCTGTACATTGAGAGTTTGGAGTCCTGGCCTGTTGGCACTGGGCAGGCAGATCACAAGGTCAGGAGATCGAGACCAGCCTGGCTAACATGGTGAAACCACATCTCTACTAAAAAATACAAAAAAAATTAGCTGGGCATGGTGACACATACCTGTAGTCCCAGCTACTCAGGAGGCTGAGGCAGGAGAATCTCTTGAACCCAGGAGGCAGAGATTGCTGTGAGCCAAAATCTTGCCACTGCAGTCCAGCCTGGATGACAGAACGAGACTCCATCTCAAAAAAAAAAAAAAAAAAAAAAAAAAGAAAGAAAAAATGGAAGTCAATCTCACACACACAAAAAAACAGCAGAATATCCTAAATAAAACATTAGTAAACTATATCCAGCAATATGTTTATATATATATAATACATTACTTCAAAGTTGTGTTTATTATTGTGTTGACAAGGAGTTTTAAGAAAATAAGGAGGCTGGGTGCAGCAGCTTATGCCTGTAATCCCAGCACTTTGGGAGGCCAAGGTGGGTGGATCACCAGAGGCCTGGAGTTCGAGACCAGCCTGGCCAATATGGTGAAACCCTGTCTCTACTAAAACTACAAAAAATTAGCCAGGCATGGTGGTGGGCACCTGTAATCCCAGCTAGTCAGGAGGCTGAAGAAGGAGAATCACTTGAACCCGGGGGACAGAGATTTCGGTGAGCTGAGATCACAGCATTGCATTCCAGCCTGGGCAACAAGAGCAAAATTCCATCTCAAATAAATAAATAAATAAATAAATAAAGTAAAAATAAAATTAAGTTTATTCTGAAACTGCAAGGTTTAATTTTTAATGATTTAATTTACCATATTTAATAAAGGGGGAAATAAATAAGTTTTTTGTTTTTTTTTTTTTGAGCTGGAGTCTCACTGTCACCCAGGCAGAGTACAGTGGCACAATCTCGGCTCACTATAGCCTCTGCCTCCTAGGTTCAAGTGATTCTCCAGCCTCAGCCTCCTGAGTAGCTGGGATTACAGGTCTGCATCACCATGCCCAACTAATTTTTGTGTTTTTAGTAGAGACGGGGTTTCACCATGTTGGCCAGGCTGGTCTGGAACTCCTGACCTGAAGTGATGCACCTGACTTGTCCTCCCAAAGTGCTGGGATTACAG